AGCAAAAGGACTCCAAATCCCAACGGCCAAACCCGAAAGTGAAGTGCCGGCATTATTGACTCCAGCTGTAACGCAAATTACTTGGTTCAAACAAACATTTGACGACTGTGCAAAAATAACTACATAAAAGACACCACTGTTACAGAAAGACTTTACACGCTATTTAAACTGCCGATCGCGAACGGAACAAACCGTGATTGAAACTAACTGTGATGCCGCTCTTTATTCGTTGCGCTAACTGTCGCCTGTCAGTGGCAGACCCGCCCCTTTTAAAGCGCCAGCTTAATCCATCAGTATGCGTTTCACTGGATGAAATTTATTTGATTCCTTCGTGGTTTTGGCGATCCTCGGTCCCACTTTATACCTGTGGACAAGGGATTCGAGGCTCTAATCCCTCATTGTGTCCGAGGACCGGCAACCCGAGGCCAAGGACTTGACTCCCAAGGCCAAGGCCAAGGCCAAGGACCAAGGACCGACCTTCGGTCCTCGAGCCGGTCCTCGAGGCCAAGGACCGGCTCGAGGAACACATCCCTGCTAATTACACATACTGTATATGTAAGAATGCCAAAACTTGATCGATTTAATTTGATGATATCATGGTAAGAGGCTGCAGAGAGTTGTTGTGACTTTCAGACTCGCGTCAGTGAGTCACACCAGTGATCTATTAAAGGGGAGGCCTTAAATTCTACAAATACATTTTAAGATAATAGTGTGCTCGAGTAAACTCCCGGCTAATTGCAATTTGGCTATTTGCACGCACAGACAAAACCTATCCTTTTATATTACCTGAAAAAACGTTCTGATTTGTTGTGCTTGTGCTCCATCTGATGGCCTCTTGGTGCTAAAGTGAGGGGGAGCGCTTCATTTAGACAAAACTAGTCATTTGCTGTCACCTTGTGGCATGTAAAGGCAATTTCGGTACTGTATGGAGCTTTTAAGCGGGGTTGTCAATTAGTTGCAAATTTCTGTTTTACGCGAGAAGGTCTTTGTAGTCAATGACGCCTACCCAAACAGGATTGCATTTGGCTCTAGATGACCAATGTGAGCATCCCTGTTATCAACCAGTCAGGAGCTCTGTTTCCTTTCTTTGTACTGCCTGACGCACTGGGCTCCGCCGCTACATTTTTGGGGCACTTTTAAGAACCAAACAGTAAGTTTGAACAACGCTCTGTGTTTCGGAATGGTCAGAGTGAAGAAATTCACACTCGGGTCATATTTATATATAATACGCATCCACGATTGGGGAGCGGGGGGTTTTGGGGGCAAACCTGAGCTCTAAGGTTCTTGGTCACGGTTTTTGTGGAATAAATTTCCCTAAAAAAAATTTGGTTTATAATGCAGGGTGACTTTGTTTTTTTTCTTCTCCGTGATGCATCTTTTTGACTGGTGTGATTTATTCGTCTGAAAAATACGGTACTAGTGATACCTGCAAAATAAATGTATGAAAAAAAACTCTGGACTTAATACACACTTACTTCACCATGAGCTGTGAAATGCGCTGGCAATCCCTCTTGTCATAGAACCAAATACTGTAGATACCCACTGCAAGAAAAGAACATACTTTGAAGTTGCATGATTGTGAAAAACAGTCTTCATAAAATGCTCAGTCACGGGTCTTCAGCGAGTCTCTCCTCGCTGCATGTCCAAGTCCCACAACTTCTTGTTTTCAAGTTCTCAAATTGTGTTTTCCGAGTCACACATCAGCTCACGTCTTGTTAGCCTTAACAAGGTTAAATTGCCGCTTTCAACATTGTCGTGTTGAATGATGGTCCGACACTTTAACCTTGGAATTAAAGACACTTTAACCTTCCATAATTTCACTGACGGTTGGCTTGTGTATGAAATTATCACAGTGCAGCGGCACCCCTTGATTTTCATGAAATGTTAATTGCACTTAAACTTGATCTTCAAGCAGATTTCACTCGAGTGTGTGCGTGTGTTTGTGTGTGTGTACACCTGTTACAGGACATGCAAGCTGATGTTGGCAAGTCCCTGAAGAACCCAATGTTCCCTAGCAACCAAGGTGTTTGCATCCTGATCGTATCTCTTCTGTACCCGAGGGGACTACAGGGCCATGTAAACAGGAGTATGTGTGAGCATTTACACTCTCATTAAACAGCTTCCTGTAGCTTTCAATACGTCGGCTTTGGACGGGGTGTCCAAAAAAAAAAAACCCAACAATATGGACGGCACGCTTAACTGTGACTAAACATGGACTTTTTGATCTTCTCTAACTGTGACTAAACTTGGACTTGTTGAGCTTCAATCATCAAGCTTCTAACTTGCTTCTACAGAGATTTGAAGCGAATCTCAAGATTCTGTCAATTTCATTCATTTCTTGAGCCAGAAAAAGGACCAGAGCAACCAGGCTGCCGAGGAAACAACCAGAGGAATACACTGACTTTTCAACATACTACTGGGATTCAAACGGAGCCCAAAACGCTGCGACCGCAGTGACGCTGGAAGAGAAACTGGCTGAGTCTGAAACTTCATGACGAGTGACATCATGTCTTCCATACCAGGCAGGTTGAAGTGCAAACAAAGCCCAAAGGGGGAGCACTCGCCATTGACTTTGACCCTGGCTATGATATTTTTAATGATCAGCAAACAGATGGGGAAACGCTCTAATTCTTTATTCGTCGCCTTGATGAAATTGATGTTCAGACTTGTGATCGACTGCCTTGGTGGGAGCACAGTCAGTTACTTTCTTAAGTTTTGAGAGTTTAATAATATGACTGGCACGAAATCGAAACCAAAATAGATACATGAAGCCTTTCGTGCACATTCTAACCTGAGAACATGATCAGCTGTCCACTGTAGTAACCGCTGTCACTGAAAGGGTTAACGTGGGCGCAAAAAAAAGCTGTCACACTCAACGCAAGGACAATCTTGATTGGAACTGGAGCTTTAATGAGGAACGTGAACAATTGGGGCCAAAAACTATGCCGGACCGCAACCATCTAATGGACCCGCGTGATGTTTTGAGCACTAACGTCTCCTCAGAGGTTCACCTGCTGAATCCAACTCATGCCACCTGCGAGACTTCAAGAAGAAAGAGGAAATGTTTCTAAGAACACTGGGGAAGTGTTTATTTGGACTTTTCAGAGGTACTGACATTCTTTTGTTTGTAAAGGTGTAGGATCTTATTACGCTGCACAGTATGTACTTTGTACAAGTTACCGTCGCCAATACAACCGCTGGCTTGCTTTATAAAACTCCTGCCATCGAGAGACCTTTCGTAGCTTAGCAACGCCGCTTCCCACGGAGGACCGGTGACATTTTCATCAGCGTTTGAAAGCATGAAGAAAATGTTCAAAAGCCTTTTCATTTCCGCTGGGGAAAATATGGAATCATTGGGTAGATGAACAGATATATTACATTAAATATGAAGAGCACCAGTTTCCCTCGTTTGAAGGCATTCAATTAACTGAACTCAGCTCTCAAGTGACTGGCGTGATAAAACAACAACCGGATCTTGAGCAAGTCATCACTGCTTTCCAGGCATGACCAAATTTGTGCAACAGCTGGAGACGGCATGAACCGATTCTGAAAGGCAGCTGGCACAAACTATGACTATACTTGATCCCAAATCAAACTGTGCCATGGATTTTGTAAACAAATACCTCGAAAGTCGACAACAAGCTGTAAATTCAATGAAACGCACTGGTGGGATAATAGAAATGTCAAGAGTTACATTTGCTCTACTTAGGGAGAAGTATTGGATTGCATCCAGGAGTACTCACTGTTGTAATTCTTGTAGAGAAGGAAAGGCTCCTGCAGCTGAAACTCCAAGTCTTTGTTGATTGGCTCGACCAGGTTCTCTGTGCTCAGTCGGTTCATGATGGTGAAGCCATGGTAAGGGGAAGCGGACCTTGGTAGGACAACAATTACAGACATTGGGTTCTATTTCCATTGCGATAGAGATTTAATTAAAATTGTTACATTCTTACCTCGTATAAACAAACAGGGTGCCCTCGATTTCGGTCTTCTCCTGAAATCAGTCAGTAATGGTGTCAATTTCAACAAGTCAGTTGAAATCAAACTGAATTAATTTAGGGGTAGAACACAACTGTGACATGCAACCTACCACAAGACTCAAAAATTGTCAACTCGTTATTGGGGTGGATCTGTCTCGCGTAGCGAGCCAGCTGTCATCACACCCCATATACAGCTGATGCTGACAAATCATTGGCTGAGTAATTGTGTGAGGGTTGGTCACTATGGTCATCAGTGGGTCTAAAGAGCCGAACAGTACGATCGCAGACACCCAGACACATTTTCAGAAATCCGCAGATAATTTAGGATTTTCTTGGTTGTTTATTTTCAACCCTGATGCAGGCACTCCAGGTACAACTATTTGTATACTAGACATAAAAAAGTAATTCCAAAATCTATGTAAAACGTGATACTGTCTGACAATTACACACAGCGTGACATTATATTGTAGTGCATATTCCTTCGATGTATTTTTTTTATCGTTGGGTTTATTTTACACGGGAAACCTGAGAGGCACCGCAGAGATTCCAAATGGGATAGTTCCTATTCCAAGCGGTCTGGAACCCAGCATTCGTGTTCTCTCTATCTCTACAAAACCTCGAAACATGGTGCATTGCAGTAGCCAAAAGTAGCGCACATAAAGTAACATTGTGACATTTATTGTATTTGTAACAATTTCACTCAAACATATACTGGGAAGTTAAAGTCTAGAGAACTTAACATAGCTCACAGCGTTGTTTTGATCTAGAGTTAGCTTCGACATGCCAAGTTAGTTTTCCGATGTGCGAGCCTCTTTCCTCGCTCTCGCTTCTTTTTTGTTTTGTTTTACAAACGCACCCATTCGTTGGCTTTGGAGTTGAAGTTGTACAGGGCTACCTGGCCGGTAACGTCAAGCAACGTGTTTATGTATGGATCTTGTCTTTGGAGAGCCGCTAAGCTCATCATATGTCCAGCATTTGCGGAGTCCATCTTGGATGCGAATATTGCTCCCACACGGACACATTTCTAAAGGACACAATTAACTTCCGTTTTAACCGGATGTTGATTCTTTACAAACTAATCCAGTACACGATAGTTTAAAAAATATAAAGTATTTTGATTTTTTTGCTCGAATAAATCTGATTGGTTCAAAATTACACAACACCACAAGAATGCACTGCAATACTTTTTTTTTTGGGGGGGGGCGGTACTTATAGCTGTCACCTGGGACCCACCCTTCATAAAAAGAATAGCATTTTTACATGATGTAGTGTACTGTAGTCTGTGACATGAATTTTAGTGGTAGGCTTTTCACACGACAACCGTATTTTCATTCAAGGGAGCAAACACAGTTAATTAGTAGGAATGAAATAACCCTAACACTGTATTTTAAGTACCAACACCACTTTTGCTCTATGCACATTCTGTCTTGTCCCAGTTGAGCTACAGCTGTGTAGGCTTCACTTTTTCTGTTGAGTGGACACTGGAGCACGGATTATAATGGAAGGATTACGCGCAACCGGTTATCCCTCATACAGGCACAGGTAATCCAATCACTGGTAACCTTCCAGCGTGGTTCGGACAACTCATTTTCTCTGGAATAGCAGCACAGTGAAGTCACAAAAACGGCACAATGAGGCCTCAGTGGAAAGGCAGGTGACAGAATGCCATTCATTATACGAGGAAGACCCCTAAGGGGTAAGTGCGTTATTTTGATGTTAACTGAGAGAATAATCCTTATTTGATACCGATTTTAATGTGTTTATTTGATCATGCCTTTGATTTCAAACAAATAACTATTCAGGAAAGATGTATCAAGTAATTATTTAAAAACATTGGTCTCTCTGAAAACCTAAATCACATAATACATTATACAAAACCCCCTTTAACCCATTCCTAATTGAAAACAATTGAGAGAAAAAGGATTTGTCTGTCTGTGTGTCTTAAAGCCAAGTGTGGGGGCGTCTTTAAACTGCTTCCCCTTGCAGGTAAACCAGACGGGTTAGTGGTTATTTTTATCGTACCAGAACAATGAGATTTTACATGATCTGTGAGAATTCTCTGAATATTATACACCTTATTTTAAAACACCAACAGATGCATTAAAATGTAGGCATGTTTTTATTTTCTTGCACGTCCAAATGTGCAGCATCGTGATCTGCCCCAGTTCGTCTTCGGGGTGGCCAATAGCTGGCTGACCGGCCACGGGTGGTTCGGGTTCGGTCCAGTGTTGGCAGAAGTGGGCTGAGGTTGCTTTGCCCTCCTCCCGATTCATGTGCGCACAGACACCCGGATGTGGCCAACATGTTGGTTGCTCCTCGCAAGGCTCCGCGCTCGGAAAATATGAGGAATATAACTCAGGTTAGCCTCGAATATACTCTCCAACGATGAGTTGGATCTGACGTGGAGATTTTCCATGTGGATTCGAGGATGCAAGAAGAAGATGAACGGTCAGAAGGTAATAATATAGAACAAATTGGAAAAAACGGAGGAGAGTTGGCGCGGTCCTGTGTGAGCGTGCTTGTGCGCGCGTGTCCGCGTTTATTCAGCATACCGGAGAAAATGAATATATCGTGTAGGTTTTGACATTACTTTTTCACGTCGTCTTTTTCTGTATAGCATAGCCGACATTACGTATTTAAAATGCTTTGTGCGACCTACAAAAGGAATTGACTTAATTTAGCAACACCTTTCAAAGACACAACCTATAAACCTCCATAGAAAAGTGGTTAACAATTCTTATCTAACTATTTTTACCACAACAAAATACATTTATACGCTCATATGGCGTGTAAGAAATAAAGTAAATAACCTCATGTTTTAAAACCTAAGAATATGCGTTGTCTTTCTTCTACATTATTTTATGTAATATCTCCACATTAAAAAAAAATGCCTATTTTGATTAACCGAATGATACTGTACAACAAGACCACCTTGTATTATTGACAGCAAAATGTTTTGTTCATATGTCACTGACAGTATAGGCTAATATGAGCCAGTGAACTGTGCAGACAGTGTAGATTCAGTTCCCACTCAGTGACAGTCTGAATGTGAGTATGAATGGTTGTCTGTCGCTATTTGTGCCCTGCGATTGACTGGTCACATGTGCCGGGTGTAGTCAGCTGGCTCTAGTTCACTGTGACCCTGAAAATGATAAATGGTAGATAAAATAGATGGATGGATATTTGGTTAATGTCACAGCTTGTCTTTTGCTCTGTCTGCATCTCAATTGTTTCTTGAATAGCCACAGGATATATTTTTCTAGACTTGTTACCGTTTGAAGACTCGTTTTTCAGATGACATGACATTACAGTACTCGCTGTTGTGCACCAAAGAGATGAGTCAAGGGCACTGTCTTTTTAACTCTCAGTTTGTATTGATTTTAATGACTTGCTCATTCATTCATGTGGACCGTCCTCTTTGTCCCTCCCTACTCACTTCAAACCACATCGTTTTATATTTTACGGCAAGCATGAATGCTCCAGGGAAGTGGTCTATTCTTAATAAGTTTAATTGTTAGTTCGAATTACAGTACAAACCAAAAAAATAAAAACAAACAGTGGCTTTCCACAGAGTGTTGCAGAGAAAATTATACAATTTTGGCAAAGGTCTGATTAAAGGTGCACCTACAGTATAAGGATTTATTTTCTCTTGGCCCTGTTCCATACTGCTTGCATTGATGCTTGCAGTGTGGCATTGGCCAATCTGGTTTAGCATATGGCTGGAGCATCACCTACAGGACTGGAGTCGGTTATTATGGCCTTGCATGTGAAGATTTTTTTTGTCAAAAAATTTTGTTTTTGCCATTCAAGTCCAAGTTGCACACCGCTGTGCAAACTTCGGCTATTTTATCAATACTATTGACCAAATACAAAGAAAGCAAAGCGTGGAGAGTCTCAGTTGCCGAAATGCATGGATGTAATCAGTGAATGGGATGATTAACCATGACTAAGAGCATTTAAAAAAAAATTACTCTTTCACATTAATTCTCAGCTGTTTCCTCTCTTTGTTGCAATCCACATTTTTCTTGATATTTGCACCGTGTTTTTATGGTTCAGACAGTGCAATAAATTGTATGTCGAGCCTCGAAACATGATGCATGGTCATTTTTTTCTGTTGCAGTATGTCAGTTGATTTGCTGAGCTGAATTGCTTGGTGTTACGGTGAAGGGTTTCCTAGAAGTATTTTTTTTTTCGTGATGTCTACTTTACTTGCATTTAGCTGCATTGCTGGGTATATAGCAAGCCTTAGTAAGCATGAGTTTTTTATGCTACAACAATATGACTGCACAAATGTGTGAGACATACTGCAACATGGAAAAAGAATGCAAACAATACTATTGATCTTCATCTCTGCATTTACTAGATAAAATTTGGATTCACTTAGGAATGTATGTATTTTTCAGGCACCGTTAGTTCACCACCAATCTCGACTCAAGTTGCATTTTTGACATGAGTGCAAGCCATAATAATTTTTAGTTTAATTTTTATATTTAATTTCACCACTCTAATTAAAATAAGTGTGTCATATTGTCCAGTAACATGATAGCCAAATATATGGCTCTAGAAATATAAGGAAATATAAGTATTCCCTTGATGCTCGCGAACCTGTAAGACGTTCCTTGCACAAAATTGTTATGGGTTAGTACTGTTGATCAGGATATTGCATATTTATTGCTAATAGATTGCCTCTCTCTATTTGTCCTTAAAGGGGCACAGTATGCCAGCAACAAAAGGACCACTTCCTCTGCTGATGCCTCAGCCCTCTGGTCGGAAAGCCAAACTCATCTGCACCAACTCAGTCCACCTGAGACCCTGCACGCCCCCGCCACCAGTGGCAAGCCTGTTGGCTCATCTTATGGCCTGCTGGGATCAAAGAGTGGCACCCATGTACCCGGTGGCACTAGTTCCGTTGTCAGCCCGGTCCTCGCTTGGCATGCAGCCATCAACGCCGCTCGCCAAGCTCAGGGTGATGTGACGAAGCCTGACATGAGTCCGCAGCGCTCAGCGTGTACGACCGGAGCAGCTCCCGTCGGCTCGCTGGCACAGAGAAAGAGGCAGCAGTATGCTAAGAGCAAAAAACAGGGCGGGTCGACTAACAACAGGCCGCCCCGAGCGTTGTTCTGCCTCACCCTCAACAACCCCATCCGCAGGGCCTGCATCAGCCTGGTGGAGTGGAAGTATCCTTTTGATGTTTGATAGCGGCTGTCGTGAGTAGTGAGTCTTCCTGCAGTTTGAGACAAGCTGGGTATCTCGCAAGAAAAAAAAAGACAAGCTTTTTCAAAACTTTTTTATTGTCCAAACCAAAGGTTGTTTTGTGAAAAAAAATGTGCACAAGACTTCAGCATATATCACGAAAGCTCAGTTCAGCACACATCAGGGATTCAAGTTAGTGTGTAGATTTTAGTGCCATCTAGTGGTGAACTCATAGAATGCTTTGACGTCAGCTCGAAGTGCGTGCATTTTGAATCAACCACACTTTGCAAGCCTACCACAAATTTCTTCAGCAAAGGTACAAGCAAAATATCATCCCAAAAATTTTCCAGTATTCCTAAAAGTGACAAAGTAAATGCATTGTTACATGTTCTAGCACATACGAGGAACTACATTAGCTAAGTTTGTCTCCTTCGACTCTCCGTAGCAGAACGATGGCGCCAGTCTCCTGCAGGTGCGGTACGCCCAATGTAGGCGATTAATTCACCTATAATTACATTTAAAAAAATTATGTTGATGTGATAGAACATACTTTTTTTGCATATTACTGAAATTAATAGTGGGTTTTTGAAATAAAGAACAGTGAAAAATCAACTACCTTTTTTTACACAGTGTGCCTTTAATGCTGCTGGTGTTTTGCCTGTTCTTTGGCTTGTACCTTTTTTTTGCAACATCTAAGCAAGGAGCTGCTTCATCAAATTGTGTTAGGAGGAGAAAGAAAAATATGTACCAAGTGTGTAAAAAAAAAAAAAATCTCCAATCCTGGTGTCAAAAAAGTTTTCCCCTTCAGTGAGGGCCAGACAATCAATCAGCACCAAATGCTTTGTCGACTGCGCGAGACGAAAGAAGAGTTGTGGCAGGAAATCATGTGGCTGCTTCACCATGACAACGCACCAGCTTACAGTCCCTGCGCATCTGACAATTCCTGGGAACTGGGAACGTCGCCGTGCTGAGCAATGTGCCTACTCACCCGACCGAGCTGGCACAGTGTGATAATATTCCTCTTTCCCAAGCTCACGAGGGTCATTAAGAAGAGCCGTTTTGAAGACGTAATGACGTTAAGATGCCCATGATGACAGAGGTTAGGTGGATTCCGTAAAATCCTTCCAGGAGTGCGTGAAGGTGTGGTAGAGAAGGCTTGGAAAGTGTGTCAGACTCTAGGGGAATTATTTTGAAGGGGAAAACTCGAGTTTCTAGTTCGGATTCAAAATATATCTTTTGTGTCAGCAATCCTGGAACTTTGGTGGCACGTCATACACAGAAAGTTACATGAAGTTGGTCGAATTGCATTCAAAGCAGTCAGACTTGTTGCCAACGTTCAGGTTTAGGTTTTTAATGCTTTTATGTTGTTCTGCGCTTCACATATTTTTACATTTGTGTGACAAGTAGGTTTAAAAAAAATGAAACGTGAGATACATTTGTGATGTGACTTGCCCTAGTCATTCATCATCTCCGTTAATGCCAAAGGCTTGATTTTAGCTGGTGCGAAATTTTGTGTTCACTCACTCTACCTAATTTTGCACTGTTGGGAGCGGATATTAAAAAGATGTTGGAGGCCGCGTTATTTACAAAAGTTTTGCCCCTTAGGTAGCTCTGATGGTTTTCACTATGGATAATTTGGGAGGACACCCTAAGTGTAAAATTAAGTTGCAAGTAATAGAATCATAAGACTAACGAGCAGTTATGAAAAACAAATATGATAACTTCGAGGAAAAGCAACCACATAAAATCTACGTTTTGTTTGATCTGCATACAGGCTCGAGTCAAGTGCGGGTAGCCATCGAGAATTTGGGGAAAATGTTAATCTTGCTGTCTTTCTGGGACACTCCTGGGCATCATTGAACTTTGTGGAAGGCTGGGGCATGTCCTAAGGAAGAACACAATCCATTTAAATTTAGAGAGGTGTATACATTTCTTTTTCCGTTTCTCAATAAATAATGCATCTCTTCACATGTACAATTTGGTGTTCATCCCAATTTATTTTGTTCTGTCAGGATTGTTGTAGGTTTGTGTTCAAATGACTTCCATTCTTATCTTATTCTAATACAAAGTATTTTCATGTTTGACATTGTGGTAAAACCTCCCTTAACAATTTGACTTTCAGACCATTTGATATATTTATACTGCTGTCTATTTTCGCCAACTGCGTGGCCTTAGCCATCTATATCCCTTTCCCGGGAGATGACTCCAATTCTACCAACCAAGAGCTGGTAAGCAAAACTGTATACGGTATAAAGTGTGGGTCGTGACGTTATGGATCAACTGTTCGCTGGTTTATGCATGCTGATTTTTTTGTACCAAATCAGCAGGTTTGCCTTTGAGGGTCATATCATACTGTCAATCAATCAATTATTGATTGATTCATGCTAGGCTGACACGGTGGGATGTGCGGTTGCCGCGTCTACCTCACTCTCAAAATTATACTGGTCTTGGCTTAGGATGAATGAGCGTCCATGCTTGCATCGATTTTCTCTGTACTCCGACATCCTTGCACATTCCAAACATAGAAGATGTTGGGTTAGTTGTCGAGTCTAAATTACCCACAGGTGTGAATGAGAGAGTGAATGTTTTTTCTGTCCATGTGTCCCGTACGATTGACTGGCAACCAGTTCAAAATGTAGTCAGATGAGATATATTCTGGCTGTCCATGAACCTTGAATAGGATAAGTGGTATTGAAGATGTATGGATCAGTTTTTTTTTTTTTGTTGTTGTTGTTGCCAGATTCTACATGTCCTTAGGCAACCTTTCGTTCGTTTTTTGCTTTCTTCTCTGGGCCTTGCAGCAAGTGTGTGTCTCTGTAGAGCAAGAGGAATTGATAGTTGTGCAGAGAAACCTTGCATGTTCTCTAACAGATGGGGATTACTCAGTGTGTATGTGTGCACTCATTACTGGAGCAAAATGCACTGTGTGTGCGTGCGTGTGTGCGTGCGTGTGTGTGTGTGTGTGTGTGTGTGTGTGTGTGTGTGTGTGTGTGTATGCATGAGAGTGAAAGTGAAAGCTGTGCATCTTGAGCACACCATGGAGGGATATGAGACTTTTTAGTTTTAAGTCAGATATATTTCGTCACAGCTTCGATTTGTTTGAATTTTGGAAAAAAAAAAAAAAATCTGAGGAAGTACTGGAAATACGATTACCGGTAAATTGTTCAATGGGTGTTTACCAGGAACAAACTTCATCACACTTTATTAAGGGAATATTAAAGAGTAAAAAGAAGTTAATCTAAAAACTTTAACAACAATAAAACCACCCCCCTGAGAATACTGAAGGAGAGTCGTGTTACTTCCAATTTAGCATGTACATCCTTAATCTCATTTTGTGATATTCTTAACTGTGAAAAAAGTTGAGCACTTTCAAGCATACAAATACCGAGTGGCACCATTGAATTCCCTAACAGTTCATCACACGTTGAGATATTGATGGAAATTCTACATTTTGCTCTCAAATGCTTTCCGTGCTGTTGATATTTTCTGGCAATGGTCAAGTGGGCAAAAATGAGTCATGTTGTGGACACACAGACTTGACAGTCACCTCGTCACAGCTTCAGTAAGTATCAACACTTGAGGGAGATTGATATCCTGAGTTACGACATGTCAGCAGTTTCAGCCTGTAGTATGAAATATATAAACGCAAAACATTGGAAAACATGTTAATTGGAGCTGTTTATTTTTATCCAATCAGAATACATTGGATTTACTGTCCTCTATTTGGCTAGAAATGTTGTTTTTTTGTGCAAACAAGAAGTCCACATTTTATTTACAATGTATGTGTTATTTGTATACTTGTTTCTTTTGACTCTGTCCTGCTGCTCTGAATGTGACGGAATGTTTGTGTGTGGATTTTTTTTTTTTTTTTTTTTTTTTTTGGTACATGAGCTCAGGAATGAATGCCAGAGAAACTTGAACGTGTATTAGTGTGTACATGCTGAGGGATTAAACTGGAGAGTGGATTAGTCATCCATGAATGAGCGTAGAAAGGGATCTATCTATCTATCTATCTATCTATCTATCTATCTATCTGTCTGTCTGTCTGTCTGTCGATCTACAAAGTTCAAAATTGGCGATTTCGCATCATAGTTTGAAAATAAAAATTCACACTTTGCACCTGATCAAAACACATTGAATAACAAAACCTAGAATTTCAGATTTTTCCGTTGGAAATGCTGTGCTGGAAGCATGCGCCTGGCGGAAGTAGGAAGTCGGGGCAAGCTTGTTGCTACTTCTAGCTCGCAACAATCTTTGGCTGGCTTGAGGAGTCTGAGTCTAAGTCAGTAATCATCGTCTCTAATTAGGTGAATAAGATACACTTTCGTCAACAGTCGTTCTCACGAAGGGATGATGAGGAAAGATGGAGAAGCCATGCTAATTGCTAAGCTAGCCTGAGAGCGACATGTCAGAATCGGAATCAACTTTTCTGGCAAAGTATGTAAAACACACAAGGAATTTGTCTCCGGTAGTATCGGCTACACTCGTATTGCAATAACAAGCAACTACGATAAAGAAAGACGTGACATGTAAGTATAGAAAGACTTTCTGTCATAAGGGTAAGGGTACCATGATGCAAGGTTAATGGTAAGGGTACCATTAACCCCAGAATTAAGTGCTTGGGTGATTGAGGACACGTTTCACAGAAGTCTGGCTGGAAGCATATTAGAGAGGAGATCGTCCAACTTTGAACAACAAACCAGTTAGCATGTTTGGTTTACTGAAGACTCTAAATTGGGTTAGGTGTGACTGTGAGTGTTAATGGTTGTTTGTCTATTTGTGTCCTGCGATTGGCCTGCAACGTGTCCCGAGGTGTACCCTTCCTCTCACCCGAGAGTTTGCATGTGACGTCTTTGGTTTGTTTGCTTATGTTTGCGTCTGTGATTCTCAGAAACAAGAGTCACATTGCATCATTTTCTCAATCGGGGATTAAAGGTTTAGAGGGGAGAGGAAATGAGAGTCATATCAAGCAGCATATGGCTTTGACCAACATCCATGTCTTTTCCTTTGTGTGTTTGGTCATGTAAACAGAGCATTGAACACTTTTGGGAAATAGAAATGTGATTAAAGCGAATTTCGTCGGAGCCACGCGTAGACGTGCTCGTGACAGTTTTGTAGAACAGAACGTTGAAGTGTGCAAGTGGATCAGGATCTTGAGCATTGGAATCAGGTGTGGACCAGAAATGGCCACCACTGTTCTACAAGCTACACACAAACACTATATTCATTATAAAGACATTGTAAAGTCGAGCGATATTGTTTTGGTCGCCGGTGGTTCTGGGGATGTGGGTGGAACTGCGAATACCCACAGAACACAACAGCAGGAAGAACAAACACTTGAACTTGAACTTGGTTGGTGTCCAGTCGATCACAGGTCATATCAGATAACCATTTACACTCTCAATTCTATCATCTTTGAGTGGAAACTGAAACCACTACACCAAAGTCAGATCAGCGCACCACTACACTGTCATTGACTTGGTTATACTATAGCAATATGTCATGCTAAATAAACAGACAAAGGTGCATCTGATTCAGGGCTAGCATGATGTCAACAGCGAGTGAAAATGACAATTTTAACCACCCAATTTCAAAATAATTCCATCAAAGCCTTTTTACTGGTTCATGTATCTGTAGTAGAGAGCTACAGTAACACAATTGCAGGATAGGTGTGCCTCGGTTCTTTCGCTTGGTTTGTGTGCGGAAAATCTGACTTTAATTCACTTGAGCTGCATTCCTTTTTTTTCCTCGTCAATGGATTGGGAATGCATTTGTATTCATTGGGATCCATTCCACTGTGTGTATGTGTCATGCAAGAGTTTGTCTGTTTTAAATGGACCCTGCGGGCTTTGCAGTTATTTAGTAAGTAGGTGACAGCTGTTGGTCGGCCGATTGGGTGACTGCTGAGCACCCAAAGGCCCAGGGACCACAGACACTGCTGGGTATGTGGGGCAAAGAAAAACAGACACACACACACACACACACACACACACACACACACACACACACACACTTGCTTTGGTGGGCCACATAAAATGATGGGGCAGGCCAGATCCGGCCCCCTGGGCCTTGACTTTGACACCTGTGTTCTAGACCTTTAAAATGAATACAGGATCCTGCCTTGTAAAACACAGGGATGCTCCAATTTGAATTAAAATTAATGTGTTGAGCGTAATTAGAAAATGAATTCCAAGATAAGTCCAATTGAATGTTGGAAAATGTATGGGGTGATGGAGCGCACAAATGATGAGTGCTCCCTTAAGCACCCCTGTTGTGGCTGCAGCAGGACTTGTACTGTCACCCTAGTTTCAAATTATTGCATTATAGAAACAATAATGCATCGAACATGCATTAAAATCCTGAACTTTGGCTGGCCAGATAGCAAACAAAAACAATTTTTCTTATCGTCCTTCCTGTTTTATTGTTTACAGTTGTGCCACGTGTTCCCGTGAGCTGTAAATGGCCACAGTTAATGAATGAAAGGGGCAGATTGGGTAAACAGGTGACGAGACGATCATGTTACACTGCAGCAGGCTTGTGGTAGATGGGAAGAATGACAAATTTAATCGCTGCCTGGTTGACTTTGTCCACAGAATGTTTCGCTGCGCGCAGGGATGAAGCTGAGCATGAACCTGCTGCTCGACTGTTTTTGTGTATGCAGAACATGGGCCACATTTTTTTTTATATATATATATAACTACTTTGTATTTGAGATCCCAGCATGGGCCAAAAATTGTTTACCTTTTTTCACTTTCCATTATTACGTTTGAGTTTTTGACCTCAGTGGAGGTCTGCACTCAGCGTACCGAGTGCTTCTCCTTCACCTTATTGACAAGCGCAGCTGGCTTTCATGGCAACTGTCACTATGGCAACTTGTGGAGTGGAGTGCGCAGGATGAGAGGCTCTCAACATTGTGAGCTTAGACCAAGAAGGGGAAGAAGGCAGCAAGTCCAGGAAATTGCAAACCGGGCTGGAGAGCAAGAGAGGGCCGAGGAGATGCTAATGAGGGTTGAGGAGGGGGATGAAAGGAAAAAAAAAAGATGACAGGAAAAGTAATTCTAATCATGGCTGAGGAGAAAGAATAAGAGCAGGCGAAGTGCTGGAGGAATTAAGCGCATGAGAATAACGTGATGAGTCAGACCACTGGACATAAGAGTGATTTTGAATCAATTTGATCTGTTCATACCACTCAAATGTGATTGTATAAAAACAAGTGATTACATTAAGT